CTCCACTAGGCTGCCATGCAGACCAAATGCACTTGTGTGTCCAGAGCCCTGTACCATGCCAGCCAAACAAGGAATTCCTGCCCAACAACAACGCAACAAGAGTGTTTGGTTTTACTGAAATGCTTTCTCGCTCTTGAAAGCAATTCTGAGTCGCTCAGCTGCAGAGCTGTGAGGAAGAGCTGTTAGGGGTCTTGTCAAAGCTAGAATCAGACAACCAGGCAGCACAACAGAGAGGTTGCTGGGCAGGGCCTTGTTTGTCCTCGGCCAAGGCCAGCTCAGCTCTCTGTGACTCCCAGAACCCAAAGGGAAGGTGCACTCCACAGGAAAGTTCTGCTCCTTAAGCTTCTTTTCTTTCTGCTAGAGGATTTATGGCTTCCGTGTGAGAGATTTTCTGTCTATGGATATTCCTAAGTGAGTTTTCCACTTTTTCCCAGAATCTGCTTTTGAAATAATTTTCACTGAGATTTAACAGATGCCCAATTTAACAACCTAAAGGGGAGCCAGAAAGAAATAGCTTCCCAGTGCACATTGTTTGACACTATAAAAAGTCACTTACAAAAGATTTTTAGGGATGAGTACTTTGTTTATTAAAATTCCACACAGGTGGCAGAGAAGTCCCTCAGTGGCTGGGAAAATTCTGGGAAGTGGCTATAGTTCAATCAAGGGATGCATATCACACAAATCCTAGAAAATAAACTGGAACTTCAAGCTGTTCTCAAAGACCTCTCCAGTCCCTGGAGATGTGGCTGGGCCCTCACTTTCTCTCTCATGAAAAACACGCACAAGTCTGATGCTATGGCAAGAAAAGCGCGAAACCTCAATCATTCCTAAGTTGGTGTGGTCTGCAAATATTTTCTGTGCCATTCTCCTCCTGAAGCAACCACTGCAGACTGTTTGGGATCCAAGTTAAGGGGACAAGAAGGAGGGAGTGGCACGGAGCAGAAACAAGGCTAATGAAGGGGAGGCAAGGGTTGTTGATTTTAACCAGGAAATCAACTCATAGACTGTAGGAGCCAGCCTTGGGGAACACCCACCAAGAAACAGTCATTAAGAACAAAACTGTGACAGAACAAAATAAGAAAAACAAAAGCAAAGCAAAACAAAACAAAATCTGGCTAATTGAGTGCTGTTGTTGCTTTGATTGCATCTCACGGTGATTATCTGTTTACAAAGCCATCTCCCACAGTGAACCACCAGTTCCACAAAAGCAAGGACCACCCTTCGCCCATGTCTAAACCCAGTTCTTCTTCAGTAAAGGATGTTAAGCCACTTCTTACCATTTCTGCTGCCATCGCCCTAACCCAAGCCTCCATCATCGCTCTCCTACACTGTTTCAACAACAATAACCAAACCTAGCATTTAGAGGGCACTTATTCTGTGCCAGACACTGCTTTAAGGACTTTGATGGAATTTACTTATCCAACCCCCAAGGGTTGGACAAGGCTGTGGGAAGTGGATAAGTAAATTTCATTTCAAGCTGTCCTCTCTCTGGTCACTGGTCTCATGGCCCCTCACTTTCTCACTCATAAACAACATGCAGAACAAGATCACCTTTGCACAGATTAGAACGCTAGGCTCAGAGAGACTAAGTAAATTCTTCCAGGCGGCACAGCTAGACTGGCAGAAGTAGGATGGCTCTCAGCTGACTTCTCAGTGTGCCCTGTCACAACCATGCTGCCCACAGCGGCCAGAGGGAATTGAGCTTTTCAAAACTTGAAACTCATCAAAACACTTCAGTGGTTTCCTCAACCTGCTGGGGTAAAGTTGACACCCCCACCCGCGCCTGCAGAGCTCCCCTCACACTTTCTGTTCCATGATGTACTCTGCTGCCTCCAGACTTTTGCATTTGCTTTTCCCTCTTCCACAAACACCCTTCCTGTGCTCACATTGCTGGCTCCTTTCCAACCTTAAGGTCTTAGCTTAAATCTGGCCTTTTAAGACAGACTGTCCCTGACTAACCTCTCCATTTCATTACCAGAGCACTTAACCCGACCTGAAATCACTTTAGTCACGAATCTGGCGCCTGCTCTCCACCCCCCTCCTTAATACTCTGTGGGTTCTGAAACCTGCCGCGTCTGTTCGGAGCCTTCTGTGCCCGCGCCTGGCACAGAGCCTGGCACACAGTAGGCGCTCAATGCAAATCTGTGAACCCGATGAACGCTGGAAGGAAGCCCTGCGTTCTGCCGGGTCCCTGGAACTCAGGCCACGGGCTCCAGGCCGAGGCGAGCCCAGAGCCCGGCCAGACCGCAGCAGCCGCGACCCGATGGCTCAGGCCAGGCTCTGAGGTGAGAAACGGGGCGGGGGCTCCTCACCTGAGCGCCACGGCTGCCGCGCCAGATCAGCTCTGCCAAGGTCAGCCAGCGGTTCGGCCCTCGCGCCTGGCCGTCCACCCTCCCGAGCTTCAGACACTCGCGGCAGAGACGGTCCCCGGGACCAGGCGGCTACACGCCCCGGAGCGGGACCCCATCCCGGGCGGAGATTGGGCTGGCGTGTCCTCAGGCTCCGGCTCTGGCGTGCTGGCGGCGCGGCCAGGCCAGGCCAAGACCGGCTGGGCCTCGTCCGGCGCTGGGCCCGTTCCCCCGGCAACCGCGCGGGCTACGGCGCCCCACAGCGGCCAAACCGCGCTGCGTCACTTCGCGCCTGTACCCTGGCTCGGGGCGGGGCTTGCCATGGACCCCCTGGCGCCTCAGCCGGCCGGTTCCTGGTTTTTTTTCTAACCTTTCTCCTAGAAAACCCACTTTCCCCCATCCCGGGTCCCCAGTTTGCCTTCCCCAAATCCTAACTTGTCCCAAACGCGCCCCCCATCCAGTTCCTCTCCGGAGACCACCACTCTCAGGAAGACCCTCAGTCAACTTGCACACTTTAATGAGAGTATGTGCTGGGCACAGGACATACCATGGGGAACAGCCACGAGATCCCGGCCCTTCAGGGAGCTACAGGTTAAATAGGAAACTGATCTAGACAAATAAATTACACAACTAAAAATGCAGGTACCCCACCATATAAAATGGTAAGTATAAGAGCTTAAAATATGTAGCACAAAATATTTCTTTATTGCTTTTAAATCAAGCATAAATCCTACCAAAAGCCCACATCTTCCAAGCTGATGGGAAATTCAATCTTGGCCTCCATTGGGCTCCTCTTATCCAGATCATTCCACAGGACTCATGATCTCCTGCAGAAAAAAAACAAAACAAAAAAACCTTCTAATCCTGGGTCTTCTTCAGCACTGAGGCTACAGCCATTGGCCCAAAGGTTTTCTGGTCTGGGCTGTGTGGGTGGGGCCAAGCCTGCTGAGGCCCCCACCCCTACCTGGGGCTGCCAGGGACAGACACCTGCTTGCTCTGTTCCAGAGCCTGCAGTCTCTCTTCCCTTTCCCTTCTCCCCTTCTCCTTGGGGACACTCAGAATGGATTCTCCCATGAGCCCAGTCTTTCTCAAAAAAACAGGAAGAGGCTTTGTCTTCTGCTAACTGTCCTATCCAGATCTCCAAGGCCCTAAAGTGGTGAGCAGCTGGCTAGCTATCTTCTCAGAATGGGCAGACAGAGAAGAAAACATGCTATCTTGAAAATGTGTAAGGCACAGGCATACAATAAAAGCAACATAACTATTCATGCTCACATACCAGTTGTGTGGGTCCTTGTGCCAAGTGACTTAAGCTCTCTGTGATTTAAATTCTTGTTTTCAGGACTGATAAGCTCAAATTTGTTGTGGAATCAATATCAATGCTACTCTGGCTTCAGAAATACAAGATGACTCTTTCACTCTTACCTGAATTGGAGAAATAAGGCTCAGAGATAGTGACCCAGAAATCAAGGTGGAGGATGACCCCATGTATGCCCACAGGAAGAGGAGGGAACCTAAGAGTCACAGCCTTCTAGACCCTGGATCCACCTGCCTTCTGGGCACCTCTCCTGGATGTCCCATGGGTGTCTTAGATGTAACCCATCCCCAGATGCCTTCTTTGTCCTTGCCACAAACCTGCTCCTCCCTCGGGCCCTCTGACAGGTATCACCGTCAGTCAGCCCATCTCTACACTCAGGCATCTTCCCATGTCTCTCCTGCTAATCCTTGCCCACCTAACCCAAATAGTCCCCAAGATCAGAGTGTTCTCCCTCTGAAACATGTGTCCATTCTTCCTGCTCCACTGCAGCCCAGACCACCAGCATCTCCCTTGCTGATCCTTCAGCAGCCTCGTGTCTGGTCTCCCTAACATCAGCCTCCTATTTCCAAGCTATGCTCCTCCCAGCTGCCAGGCTTGTCTTCCTTCCTCCTATTTGGTTAAAGGGAGTGGTAGTCTGAACAAGAGACCCCAAAGATTTCCTTGCCCTAATCCCCAGAACCTGTGAGTATGTTGCCTGATATGTCAAAAGGGATTTTGCAGATGAGATTAAGTTAAGGATCTTGAGATGGGGGAGATTCTCCTGGGTTATCTGGGTGGGTTCAGTGTAGTCACAAGGGCCTTTACAAGAGAGTGGCAGGAGGGTCATTGTGGAAGAAGGACATGTAACGATGGAACAGAGGTCAGAGAAATTTGAAGACACTTTGAAAATGGAGGAGGGACCGTGAGCCAAGGAAGGCAGGTGGCCTCTAGAACCTGGAAAAAGCAGGGAAACAGACTCCCTCCTTGAGCCTCCAGAAGGAACCAGCCTGCTGTCACCTTGACTTTAGCCCAGTGAGACCCACTTCCAACTTCTGACCTCCAGAACTGTAAAGATAATTCATTACAGCAGCCATAGGATTTCAAATGGTGTTAAGGGCACATACATTATAATAATAAATTAAAGCTGTTTTCAGTTGAACAGAAATCCAAGTGACAGCTCAGATTCCCGTGATGTCTGTGAGTGACTCCAGGCCAGGCTTTCTGAGAAGAGGATTCTCTCACCCCAAATCTGCTTTTTAAAGGCACAGGCAGTCCGAGCACATGTTCTTTCTGAGTCTGTTATCATCTTGTGGTCCCAATGTAGAAGCTGACACAACCCAGGACATCCCCGAGTGAGGAAGCCCACACATTGCTCATCCCTAAGCAGGCAGAGGGCAGAGCAATTTTTCTAATGTGAAAGCACCACCTCATCAGTCTTGTTTAAGATACTTCCATGCACACACGTGCATGTGTGTGCCTTTAGGAGCAAAGGATGGAAGCCAAAGTATGGCTTCCAAGGCCCTGCTGGGCAAGCTTCTGGTCTGTGGCACTCATACCTGTCCTCCGTCCCTATTCTGCAGATCTTGGAACCAGCAGCATTTGCTTCCACCCGTAGGCCTTTTCCCCGCAGGGTTCCTTTTACCTAGAGAGTTGTTCCAGTTCCTCCCAGCCCCACTCCCTCTGCTAATTTCTATGAAAATGTGAGACACATTTTTCTGGGACAGAAGTTGGCCCCTTAGGCAGGGTTTGTTCCTGCCTGGAGCTGCTGCCCCTGATGTGCAATGCAAGTTTGCACAGAGAAGACCAGCCTGGGCCATGGGGAGAAAAAGGCCAACCGTGTTTCTATAGGCTTGCACACATGCATGAGAGCTGACTTACATGACTCTGAAACGGCCAGACACTCTGGGGCAGGCAAAGCCGGCTTATCCCGCCCTGGGCGTGAACAAGCACTATGTCCTTAGAGCCAGTGTGTCCCCTGCTCCTGGCATTTCCTGTTCCAGGGCAGGTCCGTGGTTACTTGGTTCGATCCCAATGCTGCCAATAAGCAGCTGGTGACCTTGAGCCAATCTTTTAACCTCCAAATCTCAATTTGCTCTTGTGTGAAATGGAGGTGACAATAGCTACTGCACAGGGCTGTGATGAGGCCTGAAACTGTAATCGTGCACTCAGAGAGCGTTCAATGGCGCTAATCCTTGGTGCCTCTAATCTAGATCGTCCTTGTCTTTCTACCCAGAAATGATGCTATCCATTTCATCGACAAATGGAATGAAATTTAATTGTCAGATTAGCCTGGGTGGGAGATGGTCAGCCACAGCGCTTGGTTGCTGGGTCTACTTTGTCTGGGTCACAGTACCCTCTCCAATGGGCCCTGCATGAGTCAGTCCATCCACCTGGCTTGTCCCCACGGCCACCAGCATCTCTTGCCCTGGCCAGCACTGCAGCCTCCTGACTGGCCTCTCAGCTTCCACTGGGGGCTCCCTGTCCCCTGCTCCCCCATGAAACCATTCTCCTCATTCTGCCTGTGGCTGTCTTTGAAAAAAACAAAAACAAACCAAGCTGATTATTTTGCTTCCTGCTTACAACCCTCAACAACTCTCCCTGCTCCTCCAGGAGAGGTATTTCCATATACCATGAAATTGGGATCAAAACCTCCTCCTCCCCCCGGCCACCGCAGTCTCCAAGACTGGCTCCAGCAGCCCAGCCTCGAGAGCTGCCCTTCCTTTCCTGGAAGGACTCGGCCCTCTCTATCCTAGGGCCTTTGCACTTGAAGCTCACACTACCTGGAACGCCACTTCCTCTGGAAAAGCTTTCTCTCCCCCCAGAATAGAAGAGGTCATCACTCCCCACAGTGCCATGGGACTCTGCTTTCTAGTTCCTTCTGTCCAGGGCTACTTGATTGTTTAATGATCTGATAAGAGCCTGTCCCCCCAGCCAGACAGAGAACCCACCTGGGAGGAATGAAGTTTTTCTCGCTCACCACTCACAGTAGCTTCCTAGCACACAGCCTTGGAATGCAGTAAGCACCTAAGAAATGTGCTTGAATGAAAGAAGGAATGAATGAAAGGATAATACTACTTACAGGAATTCTGTGAAGGCTTTTGTAAGTAAATAACCACTCCTTGAATTATTTTTGTGTAAAAATCGACTTTCTTATATTATCATAGTAAATCTATTTACTTCAACATAGTAAATCTATTTTTCCCATGTCCCTTGTAAAGCTTTTTTTTTAAATGTGCTACATTCAAGACATTTTCCTCCCATTAATTTTTCCTTGTTAAGTGGTTTTTATGACTGCTTTGTGCTTTAAGAGAGAAGTACCATTTGGTATTTAAAATATTCTCTCAGCTTCCTTGGTGAGAAGGCTCTGGCAGCTTTCCTACTGTTGACTATAACCAGTACGTCTTGGAACACAATGTCACCCTTCCAGAACTCTTCTTAGACCTAGATAAAACTTACTCTATGTCTCCAGTTGGGGACAAGGTGTTTGGAAACAGCACCTTATGCAACAGAGCTGCTAGAGGGAGGCAAATGAAATAAAAATCATGGTGTGTGGAAAATGTGCCCTCAGAGTCCTAGGAACCAAAGTTTTAAAGCTTCTCTGCCAGTAATTCAGCTTTTATTTTATGTTTCTTGGAAAACTGAAGGCTTGTATTTACAACATGTGTTACCTAAGATGCAGAAATGGGGGGAGGTGATCCTGGCCCCATAAGGATTTCCTTTTCAGCCTGGTCGCAGCTGTCCTCTTTGCTCCTGACCCCCCTGCCCCCACCCCTGCAAGCCTCCCTAGGGTGGGGTGTTTCCTTTCAGCGCTGAAATCTTTTTGCTTGCTCACTTCTTTGGAGTATGGTACATGCATGCAGAGTTGTCTGCTGTTCTTATTTTATTTCAAA